ATAGTCACATGAATTATAGCTGTTTAGGTTTTGTTTTCTGGTTCAGGATTTTGTAATGAACTATAATATTACTACTAACAGCAGAGCTGAGGGGAAAGAAGGATGAGAGTGATAAAATGAATGGTAACTGATGACTTCTCAGAGGCTCAGAGTTTACTTCATCCAACAAAGATTTAGCTCATCCTGTAAAGTATATAATTGAGGATATCCAGCTTAAAAGTAGATTCTCCTGAGCTCTAACAAAGCTCTTAAATCCTAGTTTCTATTTACAAGATTTAAAAACTGTTGCTATTATTAAAGTAGGGAGGGGGTGTGCATTGTCAAAGCCTATGTGTGGATGTCAGGGAACAACTCTGTGAGGTCATTTCTTTCCCTTCACCTTTATATGTGTTCCAGATACTGAACTCAGGTTGCCAAGTTTGCCCAACAAGCACCTTTACCCACTGAGCCATCTCTCACTGGCCCTATTTATGCTTTTTTTACATCTCTACTAAACAGTTGATAAAACTGTTTCGAGAGGAAAGGAGGAGGAGGAGATGGAGAAGGAGGAAGCAGCAGCAGATAGTTAGGCACAATGGTTTATTTATTTATTTTTAGTTTTTCGAGACAGGGGTTCTCTGTAGCTTTGGAGCCTGTCCTGGAACTAGCTCTTGTAGACCAGGCTGGCCTAGAACTCACAGAGATCCACCTGCCTCTGCCTCCCGAGTGCTGGGATTAAAGGTGTGCGCCATCACCGCCCAGCGGGCACAATAGTTTATGCTTTTAATCCCAGCATTCTGGAGGCTGAGATAGTTCAAGGCCAGCCTTGGTCACAAATCCAATTGCAGGCTAGCATGAGCTACATACTAATATCTAGCTTTAAAAGCAAAACAAAGCAAATGGACAAAAAGCTTTAAAAAACAAATGCCTTAAACCAGGTGTGATGTGCAATAATCTTGGGCCTGTAATCCCAGCACCCCAGGAAGCTGAAAGAGGAGTACCCAGAGAATGTGAGGCCAACCTGAGCTACAGAATGAGACTATTTCAAAACCCAAACATCCAATGGAACAAACAAAAACCAAACAAATTCTTACAAAGGACACCAACGTCTAGAATAAAAGCACACAGATGCCCTTCTGAGTATTTTTAAGGTGTATGCACATATTTTACTCATTAGGAAGATACACTAATCAAATTCTCTTCATTGTTGGGGGGCTGGGCAGAGGAAGAACATTAAAAAAAACCAACAAACCAATGCTGAATCATGAATAAAGAACTCAAAAAAGTCATTCATGGCACACCTCAAACTTCCTAATTGGGGCATCTGGTCTTGGTAAGCTTTTAAAACTAAGCTAACTGAAGAGCAAAAGTACCTAGACTAGTCTCCAGACACTAAACGGCAGCATAAGACTAGAGCATTTCTCTGCCTGTTACTACACTTCTCACTTCCTGCTTTCTTTAGGCAGCTCATTCTGACCATTTCAGGTAACAACGCAGAAGTGAAAAACCAACTTCCTCTTTAAAAGTGATAAGAACTTTGGCAGCTGGTTTAAAAGTGATTTTACTTGCTTTTTAAAGAAAATCAGAGACCCAAAATGCCAAAGTTATGGAAAGCTTTACTGCTTTCAGAAAACATAATGAAAATAAAAGTATTTCTTTTGGCGCCACAACAGACATAGTTAAAATAAAGAGAACAACAAAACATTACCCATTCCAAATGAGAGACCCTTGAAGTCTTCAACGAGAAAGAAGAAAATGGAAATCCTAGATTTTCTTAGAGAAGGGATTGGTCCTAGGGGCTCTGCAGGTGCCGGGGCAAATGCTTGACCACTGACCTCTATATTCAGCCCATCTCCCATCCCTTTTTCTTTTTTTCACTTCATTTTTGAGACAGTCTCATCAAGTTTTCAAAGTTGTACTTCAACTTGCTTTGTAGCCTGAACAGACCTTAAATTATTCTATCCTCTTGCCTCAGCTTCTGCAGCAGTTGGGTTAGAGGTCTAAGCCACCAGGCCAGGGACGATTAAGAATATCTTTTATCTTGATTTTAAAATTAGTCTGTACCGCTGTGCATGGAGGTTCATGACTCTAAGCTTAACACCGAGGATCCCAAGACAGAGGATCACTGTAAGTTTAAAGCCTGGGCCTAAGTGAGTTCCAGATTAGCGTGGGCTACAGAATCTGGACTGTTTCAAGAAAAAAAAAAAATCTAAGTAAACAAACTGATAATTAATGCAAAAATTTCTGCAAGGGTACTTGCTTATGAATTCCAAGGCATTCAAATCAGTAAATATCTTGGAAAAAAAATCTTTTCTCAAAATGTACCCCCCCCTTTTTTTTGTAAAAGGGTCTCATTAATATAGGCTGGTCTTAAACTCCCTGTTACCAAGGATAAACCTGTATTCCTAATCCTCTTTGTCTTTACCTCCCAAGAGCTGGGATTGTTACAGACAGACACCATCGGACCCAGCCTTTCTCTCTACCTTTTCTCAATGTCTGAATTCAGATAAAATCAATCTGAAGGTTATGAGAAGCAGACCAAGGTAAGAAACTCCCAGACCAGGAAGTCTTCCAAAGCCCTTTCTTTCTGCCATAGACTTCAAGAGGGATGACTGTGTCTGTCTGGGGAAAGGAATCAAATAGAACTCCAGGAATCTCAAATCTGAAGGGGCTCTCTACATTGTCCTGGAACTCACAGGTAGAGGAAGCTGGCCTTGAACTTGCCTTCCTCTGCCTCCGGAGTGTTCAGATTAAAGGTGTGCACCACCATGCCTGGCTCAAACCATAAGAATTTTTACTGTATCATTACGCTTCATTATCTACACCAATAAATGTAGTTAATTAGAAAAAAAAAAGAACTCTATTAAACCCAGCATTGTGGGGGTTTGGCTAGAATCCCAGCACATGGAAGGCAGAAGCCAGAAGACAAATTGGAGCCCACTCCAGTCTACACAGCAAGTTTCAGACCATCTAGGGTTAAATAGCAAGACTGTCCTAAAAATACAAAACAAAAAACAAGTTCTTTACTAAAACAGGAATAAAATTCATGGTTATTTCTGGGGTGGATTTACTAACTATGACTTGGTTTTTCTATCGTTATTAAAAGTAAACACCAAATCTACATGTGATGCATATGCCTATAAGAGCAGCAGAGCAGTACTTAAGAGGTGGAGATAAGCGGTGACGGGTGGGGTCATCCTTCGCTATATAGTGAGTTGGAGGCTTACATAAGCCACACAAGACCCAGCCTTAAGAAACAGAATAAAATTTCACTCTAGCTTGATGTTGTGTGAACCCGAAGTCCTCGCCTTAGAATAAACATTTGTTATAGTTTTCGTTCCACTGTTGAGATATGTCTTTCTGTTTCCTAAATCTTTAACATTCATGATGCTCAATCTCCAAATAAGAGAAAACAGCGCTCATGTGTTATTTGTTGGCTTTTTATTTTTTGTGATGCTGATGCTGAAGTTCAAACGCAGGACACTGCATGTGTTACGTGCTCTACCAACAAACTGCCACCCTTAACCCTGTGAAGAGGTTTGTAAAGGTGTTATGCACCTTTTTCAGCGTTTAAAAATACATACAGCGAAATATGTCAAATTATTCTTTGCGGAGAAATGACTAAAAAAAAGTATGTTCCCCTCAACAATCGCCAATATTTTCACTACTATAAGAACCCAGACAGATTTTATAGAACACTGGAGGGTACACACTTTGTAACAGTCGTTGCAGGAAACAAAAGACAGATTCTTGTCCCATAAGGAGTTATCTAGTGAGACCATTCTAACTTCTACCAACCCTGAAGTGCTGTGCTTACTGAAGAGCCCGACGCTTCTTTCTTTTTCCGACAAGCTGTTTAGTAAACGTATGCTGTTGTCAGAAAAAGTTATTCCATGTAACTTATAAGGCATCCTTGTATTTAAGCCACCTCTAAAGACCTGAGTACACAAACTGCATTCTGGCAAACCTAGCCACCAGACACCACACACAGGCTGGGTATTGGGCCAGGCGGTGGTAGTGCACGCCTTTGATCCCAGCACTCGGGAGGCAGAGGCAGGTGGATCTCTGTGAGTTCGAGGCCAATCTGGTCTACAAGAGCTAGTTCCAGGAAAGGCTCCAAAGCTACAGAAAAACTCTTGTCTCGAAACCTTCCTCCCCCCACCCCGCCAAAAAAAAGGGCTGGATATTTCACTTAACCTGGACATGTTAACGTAAGGTTTATTTACTACCAAACTTTTCTGGAGTTGGAAAAAAGTCTACTGGCTATTCCTCACTGTTTAACAGGAAGCCAAAACTAGTCTGAAAAAAATTATAGTTAAGATTAAGAGAGAAGGGATGGAGTCACCTTGGGGACATACATGCACACAAGACATCATCAGCAGGCACAGAAGTGCTCGTCAAACTCTTAAGCAAATGTCCCGAGCTTTACAGATTTATTTTTATCGAATTAATTCAATCGTCACTAGCCGAGAAAAGACCAGGGTGTGTAGTTAGATGGATAGACAACCTCTCCCTGTCAAGGAGTCGTGACAGCAAAATCACTTCCTGAGGAAGGAGGAGCAAAAGGGAAGTTAAGGAGGCTACTCTGATCAGGAAGTGACTCGTCCCAAACTAACCCCAATCATACCTATAAATGGGGGGATGGGGTGAGCCCCAACAGCCAAAGGCGGCAAAATAACTGGTGTATGACACGTCCCAACATCACCTTCTCTTCCTCTCTTACGATTACAAGAAGGGTCTACAGATAAAAGTCAATCAGCTGAAGTTGTCTCCTCTTTCTAGAGGAAGGCTGTGCTCGGTCCGGAATGAAAAGAAGAGTTGAGGAATGGGGAACTGGGGCCACCGTGAGGCAAAGGAAAGCCCCTTGAAGGAAGAAAGTGTCCCGGGTGCAGAGGGAGTATGCCAGCACCGGGAAACGACTTTCTTTTTCCTGCGGATACCGCCAGGCTTTCCACTGCTGCCAGCTCGGACCCCTGGGCCCCGTCGGGGGAGGAGGTAAAAGAGAGAGGCGGACCCCTTACCTTCTCCTCATCCGACACCCGATCCTCGAAGTCGGCCATCTTGGCTGCTCTGGCCCAGCCCGGCGACCGGCGCGAGGCAGGCCGGGAAGGAAGCTGAGTGGTGGAATCACCAAGGGGGCCGTCGGAAGGACCCGCCCGGAAGCTCCGGCCAAGAGGGCGCCATGTCAGTTCCGCGCGGGCGTGACAGCCCGGAGTGGGAACGCTCTGGGAAGCCGGCCTTGCCCTCAAGGCCTTGGAGTATGAACTTCTTTCTCACTGAGTTTCAGTCCTTTGCCCATTCATCCTGGAAGCTCGGTGGCGTGTCTCGACTGGCCATGGCGCCTGGGCTCCCTCTGGTCAAGTAGCAATGGCTACACCTCTGAGTTTTCCGGGTCCCGATGGTCTCCGAGGCCGCCGAGTCCAGCGCGCTAAGAGCTGCTCGGCTCTAGGAAACACCAATCCTTTTCCAGCCCCGCAGCGGGGCGAAAGGTGACCCTCAACCTCGCATGGAACCCAAAGCACATCCCTCCCGCGCCACATTGAGTCCGCTTCCTGCAGAATCAGTGCCGCCATCGGCTCCGCCCTCCTAGGGGACTAGGCAGCCCCTCAGTCTGAGGACGCGCTCCGTCTTCTTCCAGATCTCGGTCCCGTTCCCCAGGACTCAGCCTTGACAGAGGCCGGCTTCCAGTCCGCCACTATCCCAGGATTCCCAACTCCGGTTTCCTGCCCTTCTCCCCTCCCAGGTCCCGGCGCCTGCCGGAGCCGCAAGATGGCGGACGGGGAATGCTTCGCGGAAGCCGCGCGGGCTGTGGGGTGTCCCCATGCACCTGCTCCCGGCTTGGGCCTGGGCCCGCCGCTGGGCTGGAAAGAGCGGCTGAAGGCCGGGCTGGCGAACTCGGGCTCCACGCTGTGGTTCCTGGCGGGGCTGGGGCTGCTTTACGCTCTGAGGGTCCCGCTGAGGCTGTGTGACAACGTGACAGCGGGTGAGAGGCCCCAAACCTGGACGGTCGGGAACAAGCACCAAAGAGCTGAGATTCTCGGGGAGTCATGGAGGGCTTTGGAGAAGGAATCGGTGTTGCATGCTCCAGTGGGTTATTATTATTTTTATTATTTTCCTCTCGGGCCACACCAACCGGGCAGCTGATTGTCAAACCTGCGCTGCAGTTTGCCGGCCCCTCCCTAGAGCGCTGAAGGCTCGCCCTCTCTGTTATCGCAGGAAAAGCTACCTGACAAGCTGCAAAGCTTCTGGTAGTAAGCCAGAAGAGAGCGTTCCCAGACACGGACACACAGTTTATATACATTCTTAGCATTTGCAGGGCCCCGTGCCTTTGAGTCTCCAGCTGCCAAACTTAGAGAAAGAACCCACACCCAGAAAATCAACACATCTGTAATGCAAGATAGAAAGTACTACGGTTTTAGTGGACCATACTTTATTGTAAGAGGGTTCTGTTAAGAAACGTTTTTCGTGATATTTTTTAGCCTTCAGACTTTATCATGAATAATAAAATAGTACAGGAAAGGAAGAGGGAAGAGAAGCGCAAACAGTGGGTTTGTTTAATATGTTCTTTCAGCATTTGTACAATGTTTGGAATGTAGCCTGGACTAAAGGTAAAGACTCGTAAGCAGTGTTGATCCATGCAGATTCTGCAGATGCTATTCCTTAGCCATAAGCAGGATGAGAGCATGGGGTCCTGGGCCTTTTCTGGTGTTATTGCAGTATTTCTACGGCCTCGGAAGAAGATCAAGTATTTCTATTAGATGGTAACTCTTATTAATTTTTCTGTCCTGTGAGAAGGCACTGGTTTCCCTTTTCTACTCCATGAGATGACATGAAACACTGTGGGATAATGTCTTGAAATGCTTTGAATATTTTAGAGACTATCTAATTTGTCTGTAATAGGGGGATGAAGTGCTTAATGGTAGTTTGTGTGCTCATTAAATGATATTCATTGAGTTTGTTGTTTATTTTCCTACTTATTATTGTTGTTGCTTTGAGGCAGGATGTAGCCAGACTGGCCTTGAACTCCTGATCCTTTGAGCACCACTATAAAAGTGGTGGAGTTAGAAATTTATATTATCTAGCCTGGCTTTTCTTTTCTTTTTTTTCTTTACTTTTTCTCTTTCTTTTTCTTTTCTTTTCTTTTCTTTTTTTTTTTTTTTTTTTTTTGACAGAGTTTCTCTTTGTAACAGTCCTGGCTGTCCTGGAACTCATCCTGTAGACTAGGCTGAGATCTGCTTGCCTTTGCCTCCCAAGTGCCAGGATTAAAGGCATGCACCACAACTGCCTGGTCCATTCTAGCCTGGCTTTAAAGAAAATTATTTTATACATTGTCTCTCTGTATAGTCCAGGAAGTCCTCAAGCTGGAGATCTTCCTGCTTTAGCTTCCAGAATGCTAAAATTTCAGACTTGAACTCCCAAACCTGATAACTTTGGTTTCATTGTCTATGTTTTTTAGATACATTTACCATTTAGTTGAACATTGATTATTACAGATTTTTTGTTTCTTGTAAAATTAAAAATTGGAGCTAGAGATGTAGCTCACTTGGTAGAGTGCTTCCCTAGCATGCAGGAAGCTCTGGTTTCAATTCCCAGCACCCATAAACCAGGAATGCTGATGCGTGCTGCGATCCCAGCACTTAAAGGAAGGTGAATACAGGATTATCAGTCATTCAAGGCCATTCTCAGCTACTAATGAATTTGAGACCAGCCTGGATTATATTAGACCACTTTTTAAATGTGTGCTTAACTTTTTATCCTTATATATTTACTAAAGATCTAGTGTAAATTTTTGTGACTTGTGTTTTGGATTTTTAGAAAAGCAGGCTAAGTTAATCTCATTTTTGACTTTTGATTTTCTTTTTTGTTGTTGTTGAGCATTGTTTTTAAAGACAGGGTTTCTCTGTGTTACCCTAACTGCCCTGCAGCTCACTCTGTATCCCAGGCTGGCTTTGAACTCACAAAGATCCGGGATTAAAGGAGTGTACCACCACCTGACTTTTTTTCTTTTTTTGACTGCAGAGACTGATCCTAGGGTTTACATGCTAAGCCTCATTTTGATTTACTTTCTTATTTAACTAAACAGCAGTGTGTAATCTCACTTTTATATACATGCGGAGATTCTTTATTTGTTTGTCTTTGTTTTTCAAGACAGGGTTTATCTGTGTAGCTTTGAAGTCTATCCTGGGACTCACTTTGTAGACCTCTGGCCTTGAACTCACAGAGATCCGAGGTCTCTGTCTCCAGAGTGCTGGGATTAAAGGCTTGTGCCACAAAGGGGATTTAAAATCACTTTAAAAAAAAAATGTGTGCCTTTTGTTTTTCTAACTTTTTCAAATGAATTTCACTTTAGATATTAATATGGACAGTTATTGACTTAGGCTGGTCAGCTTAGAAATTTTGAGCTTTGCAGTAGTGGAAAAGCTGGATGCATTTAGTAGAAATTTTGAATTTTTGTCTTTTCCCGACCTAGCAACATAATCTCTGATGCTGGGCAGCAGCAGGAAGCCTCGGTTCCCACTCACCATTCATACAATGTGGAGAGTAAACAACCAATGCTGTCCAAGGTATTATGTTGCTATGCTATGGCGTTTGGAAGATTAGAGATGTAACCTACATTTTTTACTTGCAGTATTTTCAATTTATAGACTTATTTGGACATAGCAGTATCAAAGTCAGGTATCTGTGCTGCTCACCTTCCTCCATCTAAAGATGCTTGCATAACTATAATGTACTTTAAATTGTACTTTGTAAAAACTCTGCTGTTTTCTCTTTTAACAGTGACAGGGTTTTTAAGTTCCTTGACACCCAAGTTCTATGTGGCACTTACAGGGACATCTTCTTTGATATCTGGACTAATATTTGTAAGTAGATTTCATTTTTTTTCATTTCTGTTTTGATCCTCACTTAAAGATTGTTTATGTTTTTACAAATATATAAATGTTTGTCAGGATTTCCAAAATGTGTTTGATATTTGGAAAAAGTTGCCTAGAGAAACAAGTTTGGGAGGTACCACATTGCCCTTTCTTCTTTTATGAGTGTGGTAGTATTAATTATATGTTAGATTTCTTTTTGAGACAGGGTCTCATTATGCAGGCTAAGCTGGTCTGGAACCCAGGGTGGGTCTCCTGCCTCTGTCTCCTGAGGGCTGAGATTACAGGGGTGAGTTACCATGCCCAACTTCATTCATTGTGTATTAAAAATTTGTATACGGGGGGGGGGGGGGGCTGGACAGATGGCTCAGTGGTTAAGAGCATTGCCTGTTCTTCCAAAGGTCCTGAGTTCAATTCCCAGCAACCACATGGTGGCTCACAACCATCTGTAAAGAGATCTGGTACCCTCTTCTGGCCTGCAGACATGCACACAGACAGAATATTGTATACATAATAAATAAATAAATATTAAAAAAATTTGTATACAGGGATGGCAGATGACTTAACAGATAAAGGTGCTTGCTGCCAAGTCTGTCTGACATCCTGAGTTGTCCTTTGATCTCCACTCATGTGTGTTTGCATGCTTACACACACACACACACACACAAATGTAATTTTAAAAAGGCCTGTATAGTATAATGGGGGAGAGGGTTGGTCAAGATGGACTAGAAGTTTAATGATCAAAGGTTAATGATTGTTATTAATTCAAAATGAATGAGGGTATGGGGAGATGGCTTAGTCAGTAAAATGCTTGCCATGTGAACATGAAAATCTGGGTTCAGATTCCCATTGCTCACATAAAAAGTTGGGAATGCTTGCATACCTGTTATCCCAGCTCTGGGAGGTAGAAACTAGAGATTTTTGGAGCTTTCCAGCCAGCTATACTAGCCAAAAGTGTGAGCTCTGGATTTAGTGAGAGACCTTATCTTAGACAGTGGGGTAGAGAGTGATTGAAGAGACACCTGACCTCCACACACATGCACAAATATGTAAATATCCATCTTTCATACTGGAATTAGTGAAATGAGTTATTCTACAACTACTATTATCAACTATTATACTGATACTTTGATTTTTCAAATGATTTCAAGAGAATCTGAGTGTCAGAATTTGTTTCCTTTAGAAACAGGATGACATTTAACCTAGTTAACTTGAACTAGGTTCAATTCTGTAGTCCAGAGTGGCCCTTGACCTCCTGTTCCTCTTCCTTTTGCTATACAAGTATACACCATTATGTCCATTTTTGCAATGCTTGGGCTGGAATTTAGGGCATGTATGTACTAGACAAGCAAGCACTTTACAACTGAACTATGCTCCAGCCCCTGAATATGCAGGTTTTATATAAAATCTTGCAATATTTTGATTTTGACAGCATTGGGCAAATTATAACTTTAAAAAAATATTTATTCATTGTTATGTGTATGACTGTTTTGCCTGCCTGTATGATTGTGCACCATGTATGTGTAGTGCCTATATAGTGTAGGGTGTTGGATTCTCTAGGACCAGAGCCACAGATGGTTATAAGCCACCATGAGGGTGATGGGAATTGAACCCTGGTCCTCTGGAAGGGCAGTTGGTGCTCTTTACTGCTGAAGCATCTCTCCAGCCCCTGGAGAGGTATGACATATCTGGAATTTAGACTTCACTTTTCTAAGCCCCAGCTGCCTCCCTGTAGATGGGAAAATAATAGTACTCATTTCACAAGACTATAGGAGCTAAATGAGGCAATACACGTGAATATTTGTAATGTGGAATTGGCTCAGGGAGCGCTTACTGAGTTTTGGCTGTTATCTGAGAAGTTGCACAGTAAGGGATGCCATTTAACTTTAACTCATTTATTGCTCCAGTAAGATATTGCTTTTAATTTAAAAAATATTGTAAAATATTTTGTTTATTAACATCTCTAAGGTCTAGGGTTTCTTAATGTATGCTTTGGGAAAATTCTGCCACAGATGAATGTATTAAATATTTATTATGCTATTTTTCTGTTCTTTTTTCTCATCTGTAGGTGGTGCTCTACAGCTTTAGTAGAAATCAGTATTTCTTTGACCTTTTTAAATCTTTGAGATAAGGTCTCGAAACAGAGTTTGTATTTATAAATGATAAGCCACAGAAATACAATAAAGTAAATATCCTGATGTGTAAATAGTTCAACCTGAGGAAGAACTTGTCTCTACCCATAATAGTAGTATTGCTAACTATTAGATCAGTACTTTTTGGGTCAGAAAGCACTTTCTTACGATTCTTGTTAGTTAAATTTCCTAGATGAGGAAACTGGGGCTCTGAGATGTTAGAGACTAATTGATTTGCTTAATGTGCAGTTAATAAATAGTGGACTTGATGTGCAACTTGGATGCTTAATCCTAGCTTAATACTAATTGCTTTAAAGTGATTTTTAATTATGCTGCAGATAAAATCAAATGGCAGCAACACATGAAGAGTTACATTGTAGATTAGATACTCTTTTTTCTTTACTGAAACTTCCAACTGTCTGTTCTCAACTGGTCTGGTATTTATGGTCCTCCTGCCTCTATCTTCTAAGAGTTGGGATTAAAGGCATATACTATCACACCTGACTCACTGTTATTATTCTTTAATGTCTTTTAACAATGCCTTTTTAACTGCCTAAGCTTGTCTGAGCATCCTGGTAAATCCATAAGAAAGATATTTTACTTTTATGTGACATATGTGTTTAGGGAATCTTGGGTTTGGGTTTTTTCTTCTGCTTGATCCTTCACCCCCCACCCCCAAGGAGAGATTGTGCATTTAAAGTGCTGAATTGAATGGGAACATCTCTTTAGTTTCTATTTATGAAATGCATTTTAAGTGAAAGCTGTTTCTGTTGGTTATAGATATTTGAATGGTGGTACTTCCATAAGCATGGCACATCTTTTATTGAGCAAGTGTCTATAAACCACTTACGACCACTGATAGGAGGAACAGAGAGTAGCATTTCAGAGCCAGGTTCTCCTGCCAGCAACAGAGAAAGTGAAACCACGAGACACCACCATCTATCAGGTAATTTTTCTTTGGGTGTTTTCAGAGCTGTGTAATCAAGCTTAAGTTCACTTACAGAGGATCAGTCTCAAAACAACAGAAGGTATTAGTTTGTATGCTAATGTCCCTTTCACATGTAATGATGTTAGGAGATAGGGAATGGGGAGGTGATCACATCATGAAGGTAGAACTCTCATGGATAGAATTAGTGTCCTAAGGAGCTATTTACTCCTATCACTTTATGAGTACATAACAAGAGTGCCATTCACAAACCAGAAAGTGAGCCTTTACCAGGCACTAAATCTTCCAACACCTTGAGCATGGGTTTGCTGGCCTCCAAAACTATAAGGAATTAAATTAATGTTGTTGTTATGATACTCAGTTTGTGGTATTTTGTCATAGTAATCCAAGTAGATGAAACACAGACAAAATTGTCTTTTCCTGTTACTGTAGGTAAGCCATTCTGGTATAGAGAGCAGTTATCATCAGAGTCTCAGACCCCTTCTCTTGTAGTCTGACATCTCCAGACACAGTTTGTTTGTTTGTTTGTTTATGTATTGAGACAGAGTTTCACTATGTAGCCCTGACTGGCCTGGTGTTCTCCCCATAGTCTAGGCTGTTCTAAAACTCACAGAGATCATCTGTATCTGCCTCCAGGGTGCTCAGATTAAAGAGATGCACCACAGTGCCCTGTTGAGGGAGCTGCGGGCTGTGTTCCTGCCGCCCCAGCTCCTGGTCGTCCGGCTAGCTCAGTCGGTAGAGCATGAGACTCTTAATCTCAGGGTCGTGGGTTCGAGCCCCACGTTGGGCGCCACTCTGTTGTAAATAGGAGCGACGGGCTACGTTCCTGGCACCCGGCCGCCCGCACAGCTAGCTTTACCCCAAAATAATTACACAGAAACTGTATTCTTTTAAACACTGCCTGGCCCATTAGTTCCAGTCTCTTATTGGCTAGCTCTTACATATTGATCTAACCCATTTCTAATAATCTGTATAGCCCACGAGGTGGCTTACCAGGGAAGATCTTAATCTGCGGCTGTCTGGAGTGGGAGAATCATGGCGACTCCCTGACTTGGCTTCTTTCTCCCAGCATTCTGTTCTGTTTACTCCACCCACCTAAGGGTTGGCCTATCAAATGGGCCTAGGCAGTTTCTTTATTAATTAACCAATGAAAGCAACAGATTAGAAAGAAGTAACTCCCACATCAGTGCCCAGCAGATGCAGGTTTTTGTAGTCCAAGGTACTTGTTTTGGTTTTAGTCATCATATCTACCTTCCATTCAGCAGGAAAAAGAAAAGTTCTCCTAACTCATCCTAATCTATTCAGAAGTGCCTAGCATGCACAAAGCCGTGGTTCAATTCCCAGCCCCACCAAACAGAAAGTGTCAAACACTCATAATTCTAGCATGTAAGATATTGAGGCAGAAGGTCAGAAGTTGAAAGTCTTCCTTAGCTTAGTTTTAAGGAACTCTGTGCTACATACAGGAGGGTAAAGGTAAAATGACATCATTTTTTTCAGATTTATTTATCTTGTTTTATGTGTATTATGTGTTTTGCCTGCTTATATGTCTATGTATCACGTGTGTACCTGGTGCCCAAGGAGATGATAAGAAGTCATTAGATCCCCTGGAAATGGAATTATGAGTGGTTGTCAGTCACCACATGGGTTTTGGGAACCAAACTAGGGTTCTCTGAAAAAGCAACAAGTGCCAAGTCATCTCTCCAGCCCCCCATCATTATTTTTGAGACATGGTCTCATGATGTACCTGGAGCTCATCATTTTGCTACCAAGCCCCCAGAATCTGCCTGTCTTCACTTTGCTAACATAGGATTCCAGAAGTGCACTGCCATATCTGGCTTTTATCGGATCCTCTCGGGTCCTCATGCTTGTGCAGCAAACACTTACACACTGAGCCATCTCTTCAAAGTATAGCTTTGTGCTTCTGCAGCTTGGACGTTCTGTGTCTGGAAGACACACACACACACAAACAAAAAAACCCTTGGAGGTTTTTAATGTTAGTTCAAATGTCAGTGCCTCTGTAAAATCTTCTGTGATTGACCACTTTTTTTTTTTTTTTGGTCTTAGATTAAAACATCTCTGCTATATAGTACATGTCACATAGTTCAGATGATTGTTTATATGACTAGTTCTCATGCTGTGCAAGTCAGTTCCACAAGCTGTGATAGGATCTAGGAATGTAAGAGTGGATGAAGTTTAGTAGATCCTATTTGAGAGAGGAAACTGAAAAGCAGCTGGTAATCACATGGCTATACAGTAAGGGTTGGAGCTGAATTATGAACAAAATGTCATTGGGACAGAAATACAGCAATAACTAGATTTAATACTGTGCTTCCCGAGAGCAAGGGTGACTTGTACCTCTTTCATGTTTGTGCTGTATGTGCCTGGCACTGTATTAAGTGTTGGTTAGTGAAAGTTTACCTGCATTTGATTAAACGAAGTTTTACTCTTGTTTTTCAGAATGCAAGGTCTGGAGAAACCCTTTAAACCTCTTTAGAGGAGCAGAATATAGGAGGTAAGACAGTTTGCTTTTCAGGGTAAGTATGGTGTTGGTCTTAGAGTAAAAGTGCTGTGGGATACTTATCTTTCTAAATATTCTACAGCCTCTTCTAATTGGAGATACTGACAATATTAAAGTGAGTGATTCGCTCAAGAGTAGGTATTATCTTGACTGTTTACTTTTTTTTTTTGTTTTTTCGAGACAGGGTTTCTTTGTAGCTTTGGAGCCTGTCCTGAAACTAGCTCTTGTAGCCCAGGCTGGCCTCAAATTCACAGAGATCCGCCTGCCTCCCGAGTGCTGTTTACTTTTTTTTTTTTAAATATAAAAGGAAGTAACAGCTCTTTAAGTTTTATTGTTTGGCATTTTCATATTTGTATATGATATATTCTGGTCACACCCATCCCTTCATTTTCTCTTAGCCTCTTCCCATTCCACCACTTCTCAGTTCCTCTTCCACATGTTTTTCTTTTGTGCCCCACTGGATTTAACCACTGGAGCATAAGGAAGTCATCAGTGGCTATCATGGAAGACAATGGCTTCCGCTCCTCCTAGGGCCATTGATCACCAAGCTCCCAGGACAGGAAAGACCCAGGAGCCCCTCTCCCATCAATGACTGAATGTTTATTGGCTCTCTTGTGCAGACAGCTGTAGTATGAGTGTTATGGCCTTGTCACACCCGTAAGACAGCATTTCCTAGTCCCCCTCCCCATTGCTCAGATGCTGCTTGTTTTTCTGCTCTCTTCTATGATAGAAGAAAATTAGGAAACAACCTTCCTCAAGGTTGTTTGACCAAGCAATTGGTATTGACCCAGCAATACCACTTTTGGCTATATATCCAAAGGATGCTCAATCATGCCACAAGGACATTGTGCTCAACTATGTTCATAACAGCTTTGTTTGTCATAGCCAGAACCTGGAAACAACCTAAATGCCCCTCTACCAAAGAATGGATAAGGAAATGTGGTAAATTTACACAATGGAGTACTACACAGCAGAAAAAAATGACATCTTGAATTTTGCAGGAAAATGGATGGAGCTAGAAAACATTATTTTGAGTGAGGTAAACCCAGACACAGAAAGACAATTATCACATGTACTCACTCATAAGTGGTTTTTAAACATAAAGCAAAGAAA